GGTATGATATAATAGATGACTCATGGAAATGATGCACTTGTGCCGAGGACTTGAATATGGATATAATGTAAACCTGAATCCATAGTTGGAAAATCCATCTGAAATGGAAAGTTTTTCCCTTGAATTGATATCTGATAGATTTGAATAAAATTGTTGTAGGACAAGAGTTTCCAACATTGATTACTCAATAATTAATTAATGATTTGGACTAGTTCCATGAATTAAGTTCTTTGGTGGTTGTATCTAGGATTTGAAATCAATTTTTCCCTTCAACAGGGAAAAGAAAGAGAGAATAAGATGTGTAGGTAGTGATTTGGGAGAAAAGTGAAGTATGCCTTGGGTTTTGATGTACAGATTTTAACTTTCATCTTTAATAAAGCTTGTCATTCTCTCAAAAAGAGAGAGAGACTAAGATGGGACTTAGTTTTTCAATATAGATTGGTAAAATATGCTTATGGTCAGGCAAAGATACGTTCTGTGGAGTCACAAGACAAAGGATGTGATGAGGGCAGACGGTATCTCTTTTTGGGGTGTCTTGAAAACCAAGCATAAAATCTCATAGACCAAAGGTTCAAGGAATTGATCAGGAGCTTGGAGAAATGCAGAAACTGTGAAAAAGGCAGCAACAAGGTGACAATGAAATCTGGAATGAATCCAGCAAGTATCTGGGTGAAGTGGACTGAAGGACCATATATGGTCCTTACCTTCCATGTTCACACCAACACAAAATCCACATTGGACTTGGAATCTTTACCAAAAAAAAAAAAATACCCTAACAACCAAATTTGGGATTGGAATGCACGTTTATAAAAACAAATCTAACATCTAATTTTTTTTCTAGCTAGATTAGCCTCCCAACACCATTGGCAAAAACATTAACTGCCCATTTCTGTGAGGGTATTAATTTCTTAGTTTATATCTAGAAGCAAAAGGAGTTCAGTGAGCTGTTTCTTTGAAAAACAGCCTTCTTCAGAGAAAGAATGCCAAATGCCTACATTTGTCTCCTTCAATTCAAGGAAGAAAACAAATTTAGGTATTTTTCATGATGATAAGTTAACCGAACCTCTGAATTAAATCTCTATATATATATTTTGTTGTCCTATCTTGTTTTATTGCCTGGATTTTTGTGGTCAGTAGGGGGAAAGTACAAAGGGTAGTTTCATACATTTTGGGGAGTGACCCTTTTGGTTTAGTTGTCAATCTAACCTTTCCTTCCACAAAGTCTATCCACTTTTATATTGTTTCGTTCAAGTACTTGGTAGGATCAAAGATTGATTAAAAAAAAAAAGGGAATAAAACCATGGCATTGTGGCTCACTCATTTCTTGACCTGCCTAACTTGTGTGGGTCAGATTTACATCATTATTCATTACTTTGACATTTCAAAGAGTGATCACTCCGATGAGATAATGTGATTTAACCCATGCAATGTTATTTTCTTTCCTACGTGGATGGCATCCTTTTAATATAATGGTACGGAGTATGGATTTTTCACCACACAATTGGCATTCTTTTAATATTATGGTGCGCAGTACGCATTTTCACCACACAAACTAGTATAGAAAGAGATCACATAAACGTTAAAAAGGGTTTTTTTTTTTTTTTTCCTCCATAGACATAGAGGCACATTGATACTGTTCTGGAGAAGGACTTGAAGGTTAGTTGATTTTATAGTTTAAACAGTCAAATTACAAGATAACACCTCTGTTCAAACTCCATTTTCCCCTTCATCTAAAAATCCAAGTGCCTTAGATTCCTGATAACCATCAAGCATGTTCATCATCTCTAGTTTCAATGCACTATTTACTTAATTAAGAACATGGTACGGTAGTCAAGATAGATTCAGATATACAAATACTAAAACAAAAGTCTCTGCTATTTCTTTATTTAACATGCATGGAAGTTGCCAGGGGAAACCAGGAAGGATAGATTCCCTTGTCTTTATACTCATGCATTGTCACATGCTGCATATGGTTAACACAAATCCAGATGAATTTTTCTTTATAAATCGGGCAAATGGAAATATACAAATCTGCAAATTGACATTGAGGGGAAGTATTATGTGCAAAATACATTAAGATTTCTCCAAGTATCATGTGAACCGAGGCACAGATCATGCTGGTTGATTCAGCATGGTTCATGCTACTAAAGATAAATGATTGTCAAAAACTGGCAATCTTAGTAACCTACTACAAACATTAATGCTCAACCACTTCAACATACAAAATTTCACCTTAGATAATGTTAATCTGCTGAAGAAGTCATTGGATATGGTTCCCGTTTTCTTCACATTACATGCTGCCCTCTGCTGCTTCATCCTTGTGCTATAAAAGAAAAAAATGCTGCAAGAGTATCTAAACATGTAAAGGAACATCAAGGGAGATCTGTAATCACACGTTCACATTTATCTTCAAGGATCTTCACAGCTTCTGTAAATAGCACTTCAGGAGGCAATGCTCCAGTTGATTCAATGGTAACTATAAGCGAGCAAAAAGATAAAAAAAAAAGAAAAAAAAAAGAAGAAAAAACGAATGTAAGAACTCAAAATAATAATTGTGGAGCCAAAACTTTCACCAAATGCTCTGCTGGCGGTAACATGCATTCTGACCTACATTACACATATACTAGTGCTTACATATAAAATGATCTCTAACACGGTGTAGAGCCACACGCTTCTCCCATTCTTCACCTCCTCTGATGCATTCTCTACAAAGAGTGCAAGCTCGTGGACGTGCAACCGTTGCCCTCTTCTTACCTGCTTAACAGGAAAAATTCATCAGCAAGGTGCCTAAGAGAAGATGTAGGACTTTGCATCTTATATAGGTAGCTTTCCAACCATAACCACTCAGTATCTGTAACCTAAGAACCCAATCCCCGGTGGCCAAACTTATGGTTTGATGATATAAAAAACATATTTGAAAGAGAAGAAAATTGTTTTGACCATTTCCAATATCTTCAATATCAAATACATTAACAGGGCATCTCCTTTTGAGTTCTTCTGCAACATCATCTTCAACATGTTCTGATAATACAACCTGCAAATGGGAAAAAGAAATTAGTCCATAAGAAACTGCAAAGAGAAGAAAATCAAAGTAAAAGGAAATGTATTGTCAGGAAGCAACTTGAAAACAAGATATTTACTTACCTCAGGGAGCATTCGGTACCAAGCAGTACCCACAGGGGACCACTTTGCATGCGTTTTACCTATGCCTTTAACTGCATGAGCTTCCAATTCAATTTCCTAAAATGCAAAATAATAATAATAATAATAAAAATAATAAATAATAATAAATCTTTAGCAAAGAACAGAGTAGCCTTGACAACTAGGACGCCAACAACTAGCAACTTCAAAACAGAATTTGCACCAAACAGAGAACAACAGACCTTTTGCCAGTGAAAAAAGAGAGGACTACAGTGGTGTTTAAATTACGAGACAAACACTGATAGGTTTTGATAGAATAAATAATTTTGTCCCTAGGAATCCTAGTCCATGAGAATTGACAAAGGGCATCCAATCTTAAGCAAGAGGTGGAATAGCCTAAAATGTGCAATAAGATCCAATTCTGCATGTAAGGAATCTGGTCTAACCATACAGGTACAACTACTGAACTTCAACCAAATTGTGGCCAGATATTATAGATTATTGAAAAAGGTCAAAACAAAACCCAAAGAGACGTAGATTTACTTGTCCAGGGCCAAGTTTGGCAATAATGATATCCAGATTCTTGGGGCCAAGGGGATTATTTGCAAAATCTGGCAAGGAGTCTTGTCTGCAACTGAATGAAGTATAGGTTTCAGGTTTTGAGTTTGAACTTGAAGTAGCAGTTCCTGAATCCTTAACAAATTCACTTCCCTGGGGTAGCCACTTCAGTTCGTCGGAATAAACTGCATTACATATTTCAACACAATTAAACAACAAACAAACAGTCAACAAAAATGTGGATGATGAAGTTCACTGAAGCTGAAAAGTTTCATTTCTCACAAAAGAAAGAACCATACCTGCAAAACGTTTGGCACCTTTATTACAGCGAACATGTAGTTTGAAAACAATGGTGTTCTTTTCATTCGATTGATCATTTTCTGCATAAAAGAAAAAGGGAAAACAATTTACAAATGCTTCAATACATGCCATTTGCAAAGGTAGAAAGAACATAATTTTTGTCGTTTCATTAGAAACACATCAAAGCAGAGATATTGGAGTCAACCTGACATGTACTCAAAGAGCCTTGGATCAGCTCTGATTGGAATGAGACCCAACCTGTGTGAAAGAACTTCATCTTGGACTATTGATGTGTTGTTTGCAATGAGAACTTTCTCAATTGCCATTGTTGGAACCTGCATGCATAATAATTAAACATCAATAATTTAAGAGTACCAATATAGGAATACAGACAAAGTTAATAAAATAGATCAAAATAATAATACAAATTTACAGTCTTAAAATCAAAATAAAATCGGGCATCTCCTATTAGGAGAAAGAACACACCTCAGCTATGAGGACCCTCCTAAATGCATTGGCTATGGCTGCATCAATACCAATCATATCAAATTCCATTTCATCTTCTGTAAGCCGA